ACGGGCAGCACGGTGGTGGTGCTGACCCTGGAGGCCTCGCCCGAAGCCCCAAAGCCTCAGGTCCCCTCCGGCCCGGAACCCTCAGAGCCCGCGGCCGTGGCTGGAGCTGAGACGTCAAGGGCTCTGGCCGCAGGGGCAGACTCTCCGAGGACAGAGGAGGCTCGACCCTCACCCGCCCCAGGACCAGGGACCCCCACCGGGACCCCTACCAGGACCCCTTCCAGAACGGCTCCTGGGGCCCTGACCGCCAAACCCCCGCTTGCCCCCAAGCCGGGAACCACAGTGGCCTCAGGAGTGACTGCACGGAGTGCATCAGGACAAGTGACAGGTGGGCATGGAGCTGCCGCAGCAACATCATCAGCAGGACAGGCTCCTGAGGACCCCTTAGGCCCTGGCGCAGGCCCCTCGGGGACTTGTGAGGCTCCGGTAGCTGTCGTGACCGTGACCCCAGCTCCGGAGCCTGCTGAAAACTCTCAAGACCTGGGCTCCACGTCCAGCCTGGGACCTGGCATCTCTGGGCCTCGAGGGCAGGCCCCGGACACGCTGAGTTACTTGGACTCCGTGAGCCTCATGTCTGGGACCTTGGAGTCCTTGGCGGATGATGTGAGCTCCATGGGCTCAGACTCAGAGATAAACGGGCTGGCCCTGCGCAAGACGGACAAGTATGGCTTCCTTGGGGGCAGCCAGTACTCGGGCAGCCTGTGAGTACCAGTGGGCACCCAGCGGGACCGCCTCGGGGAAGCAGAGGTTGGGGGAGGGCGAAACGATACACTTTGCCCAGACTCTGGCAGCCCAGCCTCCTCTGAGGATCCAGGGGGTGATCAGCGCGAGCTGCCGTTCCTTGAGCATCCTGAGGTGCCTGTGACATTGGCATGTTAGTGAGTTTCAGACCAGGGGTCAGGAGGCCTAGGTTTAAGCCTTGCCTTTGATGGGTTGTGTGCCCTTGAGCTAGTGGCTTCCCCAGTTCCGTGCCTCAGTTTCTTCCTCTATAAAGTGGATTGAATGAAATGATACCTGAGGTCTTCCCAGCTCTTCGATGGGGAACTCCCGCTACAGGTCGGATATTCTGGAGGGTTGGTTGGGCGAAGGTTCTGGTAGAGACCCTTCGTCCCATAGGGGTGGAGAGCCTGGGAGGGGTGCAGGCACCTCCTTTCCCCCATAGCCCTAGGTCCCAGGGATGGAGTAGAAAGGTGGGGAAGTCTGCCTGATGGAAGGGAGACGGTGCAGTCAGGACCTTGCTGTGAAACAGGGCAGTCTTGTATCTGCACTGAAGTAAAGGGGGTGGGAGAGGCCTCTTCCCCATTTCCTCATCTCCCCAGCCGGGCTTACTCTTTCCTAGTTCCCTCCCGGGCCTGAGTCACTCCCGAGGTAGGGGGTGATTGCCTCTGACTTCTTCCTTCCCCCTCTCTGGATCCTGCCCGTTGTTCCTGTGCCCCTTTGACCTGCTGGGCCAGTCAGCCTACGGCATCGCCTGGGCCTTCAGGTGTCAGGCCCCAGGTGCTAAGGATAAATAGTCCTTTTAAGGAGTCAGTCATCTGGAGAGAAAGACAAGTACTTAAACAGTTGGTTTCAATAGAAGACCTCAGGTTTAGCCTAGAGATCCCCAGAGGGTTTCCTGAGTACACACAGGCAGGGAGTCAGCTGAACCTGCTCTGAATCGTGGAAAGTAAGTAGGATTTAGTCTTGGCTATGTGTGCAGGGATGGGGGAAAGCCCTGTGGGAAGGTTTTCCAGGCAGGGTTCGTGAGCCAACCAAAATCAGAAAGCCTTTGATTGGGTACCAACATTCAGGGTCTTACACGGGAAAGCAACTGAAGTTTGACCCTGGTGCTTTCCAGGCACGAGGCCTCGGTTTATAGATGAAGAAACAGAATTAGTGCAGTTGAGTGAATTGTCCCCCTCAAATAATCTGGATCTGTGTGACCAGTGGCTCTCTCCTCAATAGCAGGCTGTCCTGAGGAACTCGGGCTGAATTCAGTTTGAGGGAGTCCCTCTTGTGTGCCAGGCACTGTGCCAGGTGCTGTTTCTCTGCTTTGTAGTGTTGTTTCTCTAAGATCAGCTTCTCTGCCAGAGAACTCTACCTCTGGGGCAAGACTGACTGTAATCGACATCACTTTCTCAGCGTTCAGTGGCTCGCTGCTGTCCACAGGATGAAGTCCAGGCTCTTTGGCCCGCGCACAGCCTCTCTGGTCACCTCTGCCACCACTCCTCACTGGGTGCTTTGCGCTGTGGTTCTGCTGAACTAGTTGTAGTCCTTTCCCCTTCATATTCAGGCTGTGCACCTGCCAGGAGTGTTCTTCTCCCCTTTCTTTGCCTGCTAAGTTCTACTCATTTCTTCATGGCTTACCTCAGATGTCCCCTCCTCCAGGAAGCCTTCCCTGATACCCACTGCCCCCACTCCAATTAGATGCCTCTTTGGTGCATCTTTGTCATTGCATTTCCCATACCGTATTACAGTTTTCGCTCCTCTTAGGCTGTAACCTCCTTGAGGGCCAGAAGGTGTCTTACTCTTACCAGCCCTTGGTAGAGTTTGGAACTGACTTATGATAGAAATTAATGAGAGATGGTTTCTCTATTTAAGGAGCTTCTAGAACAAAGGAAACTAACATTTAACGAGCCCCTTCTATTTAACAATTGTTTATATGCAGTTTCTCAATAGTGTTCTCATAACTTTGTGATGTAGATGGTGGTGTCTTTTTTAATTTTTTTATTTTTTTCTTTTGAGATGGAGTTTTGGTCTTGTTGCCCAGGCTGGAGTGCAATGGCGCGGTCTCGGCTCACTGCAACCTCCACTTCCCAGGTTCAAGCGATTCTCCTGCCTCAGCCTCCCTAGTATCTGGGATTGAAGGCATGTGCCACCACACTCGACTAATTTTGTATTTTTAGTAGAGACAGGGTTTCACCATGTTGGCCAAGCTGGTCTTGAACTCCCAACCTCAGGTGATCCTCCCACCTCGGCCTCCCAAAGTGCTGGGATTACAGGCATGAGCCACCGCACCTGGCCCAGTGGTGTCTTTTTATAATTGAGGAAGGGACTCAGGTCATCCCTTGCCAAGGCTCCCCAGGGTCTCAGAGACGGAACTGAAATTTGAACTTAGGTGGGTTTGATTCTTTTTTTTAATTTTTATTTATTTATTTATTTTTTTGAGACGGAGTCTCGCTCTGTCACCTAGGCTGGAGTGCAGTGGCCGGATCTCAGCTCACTGCAAGCTCCGCCTCCCGGGTTTACGCCATTCTCCTGCCTCAGCCTCCCGAGT